ATATATATATATGTTATAAAAATAAGTTTTTAAATTTTGTACAAATCTTGATAATCAAAATTGTTAATTTTTTTCAGACCTAATCTTTTATATTTCTCGCAACAGATTATAGTGTAAATCAATTTATCAAAAATTATTTTGTAAGTTATATAATTGGATAAAATATAAAACAATATATATTTTATTGGTATAAAATAAAGATAACATAAGTACTTACAACCTAAGTACTATTACGTAAAAATTTTTTTGTTTGTAACTTTGATTTTTATTTTGGAAGTAACTCCAGAATTATAAGCTAGATTCATAATCAACAAATTAATAAATTTTCCCGCTATCTACATAATTTATGAACATCATCAACTTATAACAGTAACTTAATTTACAGATCATAAAGAATTGAAGGTTGTTTTGAAATATTAAGGATGATATATGCTGGTTTTTAAACAATATATCAGTTATCACTGAGATATGCAATTCCATAATGAGATGAAAACGTTATAACTGTTTAATAATTTCGATTAATTTGATTTTTGTAATCATTGTCAAAAGAAAAATTATACTCATATATATCTTGCATTTCCTGAATAATAAATTTCAAAATATATACAAAATATTGGCACAAATATAAGACTATAAATAAAAGTACAACATAAAAGTAAACACCAGCAACTAAATATAAAACAGCATTTAACAGAGTCATTCAGTGATTCTAATAACTATGACATTTTAAATTAATGAAAAAAGAGAAAGTATCGGTTAACGAATTAACTTAACTTTCATAATTTACATATTGCAAGTTTTCAATTTTCCAAAACCACGTCATATACGATTGCGTACAATATATTTTTCTGCATTGTAATTTATGTATATTTCTCTTTTAATATAACATCACTAAAAATAAATCACCAAAAATAAATCTACAAAACGTTTGGAATTCTTAAATAGTTTATTAGTTTTATTTTATCAAAATGTTTTTATTTCATTCTTCAGCACGTATTATGATCATTCCCTTAATGTGACTCGCAAAGTGATAGGCTCCCATAGAATCCATCTAGGATTCGAAGTATTAAAAAAAAAATGACGTTTATGAGCTTTTCGTGTATACCAACGTCAAAGAAAGGAAATCTGTCCTATCCCTTGCACGTAAGTTCTCGAGAATATTTGTCTCGTGTCTCTATTTGTGAAAATTGTCTTAAATTTCGGTTACTGCTTGTTCTTTTTTTTTCTTTTTCGATGAACGATGTTTCCTCTCCTACTGCTGAATTCATATGAAGGTTTCGGTAGTGATATCGGCTCCATAGGAAAGGGAAATGATGAAACTGTTGAGAATCTGTCATGTGTATAATAATATGTACGTTCAATCGATGTACTGTGCAAGCCAACGGAAGCCTTCCCCATATCCCTGCCGCTTCAGAACTGAGCACATAAACAGTTCCAGCGGACGGCCGGGTATTTCATTGCGAGCAATTTTACCCTACAAATCGATTATATTTTTTTAATGAGAAGCCGATAAAAATTTTATCTCATTCTAGTACTGTAGTTTTTATACTAATATAAAGAATTACTATTTCGATTTGCATGGAAATACCTTTCCTGTTGTTTGTCCATACAGATTAAAGAAGTTTCTGAGTTCATCTTCAGAAGCCGCGGATGGTTTGTCAATTTTATTGCCTAGCACGAGAACCGGACATGCGCTAAGTTGCTCGTCAGTTAACAACGCATCTAATTCGGCTTTTGATTCTGGTAATCTTGTTCTGTCACTTGCGTCGACAAGAAATACTATCGCGTCGACAGCTGGAAAATAATCCTTCCATACGCGACGTGCTGTAGAGATACAATTTGCAACAATATGAGCAATTATTTTACAATAGGATAAAATGGAACATAAGATGTACATTTTTCTTGCATACCTTGAGTATGACCCCCAAGATCAAAAGTTGTAAATCTCATATTCCCGATAGATAATTCTTCAGATGCTAGAACAAAGACCATTAATAACTCAGTAAAATGTTGATTTTCATTATTTGTTGCAGTAATAAAGATATATAATTTATACAATTATAAATATAATTACTTGGATGTAATGTAGGTACATGTTGAGCTAAACGATCATCCTTGAGCATATGAAGCAATGTAGTTTTACCTGCGTTATCCAAACCTAGGAAGAGAAGCTTGCCACTCTTCTTCCATAGTCCTGAAACAAGATCATACAGATCAAATGTACAACAAATTTGTTGAGAAACAGAATATTTATATGAATTTATATGAATTTACGCTAATAAGAAATGTTACATGAAATGAAATAAACTAATATCGAAATTTCCATAAATTATAAAATGTCTATCTACTTTGTCAGATAACAAATATGATAAATATACATATTTAACAAATATTATCCTTTTAAAAATAATTCAGAGTAAAAGAGCTTGTACAATTATTATAAGAGATTTTACAATTGTTTTTTCAATGAAATTATTTAAATATTGTATTCCAGATAATTGTTTCGGTAACAGAATCTTCTCAGTAACGTTAGATATTTATAATTTCTAAATACTCTAAGTATTAGCATGACAGTGGATGCATTCAGCAGAAAGCATTTTTACAAGCATTGTAAGATTCCTTAATATATGATTGTGGTTCTTGATCTTTAATTTCTTGCTGGATCTAAATGTATAAACCAATCATATTAAACAATTTTACAACAGTTGTAAAGCTGCTTTTTCTGCTGAAGGCAATTTATTACAATTATAATATATAATTTGTAATAAGATTGAATCTTAGCAAAAGCAGTGATTAGGAGACGATAAACTTACTACCTACTTGCATTAATGCAATTAATGTGAGAAAAAAGTTCTACCCACCGAGATAATTCAGCACTCCGGCGAACCAATCCCAAATAAACATATTTATAGATGCGATTATGTGACGTCGACTGTGCTGTGTACGAGTTAACTAATGAATGACTCTGCAACAATAGCAAAGCAAATTAACGAGAGTTCACAGTCTAGCAACGTGACTCGATCGACTGACTGTTTAAATCCGACCTCGCAACCTTGAACTCTCTAATAGGAAGCGAGATGCGAGGTCGTCATTGTCGTCGTCGTCGTCGAGCTCATCGCAGGCATTCGCGTATCCCGGCGATCCAATTCCTCTCGGCTGCACTTCTCTCCACCTTCTTGGAGAATCTCATGTTCTTCGCTGACAATCTAATTAGACAGATATTTAATTTTACTTGTGACAAGTGTAGAAAAGTGCAGACGAGGCGGAATGAAATGCGATGTGGAATCTATGACGACTTGCTATTCTTCTCTCTTTCTCTCTTTTTCTCTTTCTCTCTTTTTCTCGCCATATGATTGACGAGCGATTAATTATTCCAAGACAACGGCTCACCAGATCTCCGTCTATCTCTTTCTCTCTCACTCTCTTGTTTACTGACAATAGACGATTATTAGCTCCTCTCGACGTCTTTTTTTTTCTCTCTCTCGCAAATAAATGAGAAGACGCAAGATTGATGGCCAATCTTTTGGAGAATCGCGCGCGTTACGTTAAAAAGTAACGGCCGAAGACTCGTTACTCGTAGTTGACGTATGTTTCACGTACTCACTATGAAAAAAAACGTATGGAGGCCGCGGGAACGGAGAAAAGTGCTTTTCCTTCCATAGAAAGAGCAGCCCGACCACAGAGCCTCGTTGGCTGGCAGTTGGCACTGGGTGACGTCTACTTCCGTTCGCCATGTTGGGCGAAATAATCGCTGCATCATAGGCGCGAGATTTTAAACATTTCCATGTATTTTTTGGTATTTATTTATTTTTTGGTATTGTATTTAATTCTCATATATTTCCAAATTATTTTACAGCTGCAAAACGAAGCCGTATTTCTTTCTTTTACAAAACAATTACAAATTGTATTTAATCTGAAAAAGAAAATTTTCTTTGAAGAATAAAGATAAAAAAATGAGTTATATTGTGTCTTTTAGACATGTTTAAATGGAAAAGGAACGTTGTGAGAGAAGCATGTTCAATATACATTTCTGTGTATCTTTACTTGATTTATTAATAAACGCATTGAATATATTTGTGTCTACATGTGTCAAATTTTACCGAAATAAATGCTTATGCATGTTCTTCACGAGAATGTCGATTATCCTATGCCAGAGATGTGTTTACTGTTTACGTCATGAAGCTTTGTTGAAAAAATAATTTTTATCTCTTATCTCGTGTTTCCCAATTTTATCTGTAGAGGAACTGAGAAGTTATATGGTTAGTGTTATAGTTAGAAAAGTAGCATTATCAAATTCCAAACAAGGTTATTATAATATTTACAAGAGAAACACCAAGTTCTGTTTCCGCCGATTTGGTTGAATTTTATATGTATAATAGCTCAGCTTAGCCAACTAATTCGTTAAAATTATCCTACGCACCTCTCAAGCAATCGCGAGGAAAATGCGATAAAAAATTTACATGTTCAAAATTTACATGTTCGGAATGTGCTGATCAGTAAGAACGAGGCAAATAAGTGGCGCGACGTAGTCAATAAAGGCTGACTACAATGCAAAATCTCGGGTTTGAATTTCATTTTTACAAATTTTTTTATATGCAGCCTATTCTGTATGTATATTTTTTAATATTTGATTTAAAAAATTAATGTTTAATAATCTTTAAATAATAATTTTGCAGGTCAAATATCAAAAAATACACATTCACAATGCAGATGAGAAAATACAATTTTTTAAAATAAGATTGAAAGATTCCCCTTCTCTCCGTAACATTATATCTGATGTCTTTACTGAGCTTGCGCTCCGATATTCATTAGTACTGGAAATCTATAATGTACATAACATATACTATAGAATTGCAGTATTAGCAGTGAATATCGACATACAGCCTGATTACACCACGCTATTATTTAGTTCATTATAAACACGTAAATTTTTAATGTTTCTTGTGAATACTTGAGAAGTACGTCGTATAATTTAAATACAAATTGGAGGGCTGAACTATTATATATATATATATGTGTGTGTATGTGTGTTTTGTGTGTGTGTGTGTGTGTATGTGTGTGTATAATTCAGTCTAATCAGAAGAAACAAAATTTGGGATTCCCATTGTTAGTTACATTAAACATGATATATGTATAACTGTTATATTACAAAAAATTATCGGCTCATATCTAACAATATCTAACATTTCTTTAAGCATAGTTTATTATATCTCTCATACTATAATTATTAAATTATCAGTAATTTTAATGCTAATTAAATTAAAGTACCATAAGTTTATTACAAACGTCAACGATTTGCATTACCTTTATGTTTCTCGTAATGTGTCAATATTGATCTAAGGTCAAAAATTATAAAGACAGCATTACGAATATTTACATCGTGTAATTGAAAGTTTTTCCAGAAAGAAAATTACATATTAAATATACGATTTCGGATTGTAAGTAATAAACATTGCAGTATAGTTTAAATCAAGATTTGTTGATTATTTGCAGATACGAATTTACCTGCAGTATTATTGAAACTCTTTTCATCTTACTCGCATTGATACTCGAATCGATTACAAATAAATTGCCTACTGCGTATCTTGACTGGTTTTATCTCTATTAACGGACGAAGCAGACGGAATTGCATTCAATTTCATGTTGGATGATAGAAGATACGTTTTGGTTGCAGAATTCTCAGCAATGACGTAACTAGTCTGAAAAGTATAAATACTTCAAAATTATCATAATAAAACATGATTTATTCGCAAATATAATTCGCAAATAAAACTAAAATTCAGCTTTGAAGTGTCTAGAGCATAACAGTGTAAATTTAAAAATATGAAATTCTGTTAGAGACCAATAAAATGTGAATTATTAACAAATATATAATATCAGACTAGACAATATTTCTTATATATATATTATCGCAAATATTTTTATTTTTATTAAAAAGAAAAAAACGATTAAGGAAAGTTTTCGAAATTAGAATAGCATAATATTTTATTATAGTATTTTCAAGCTATTTTCTGTTTGGACTGTTAGGATTTACAATAATTCACTCTAGATTTTTCAAGTTCAACGTAACGTGATTAATATTTACTACGAGTCATTACCTGTTGTGAATTTAAATTTGCATTTGAACTGACAATAGTAGCATATGCAGATTGCTGAGAACATGTCCGCATGTGTGTGGGCCAATGTGACTCTTGGCACGGATAATTACAATAAGCAGTGTTCCAGCAACAATAAAACATTGCTTCCTGTCCACATTTGGCACACCATTGTTTCTTCTTAGTCTCCTCGATACATCGGTTCTTTTCATCTTCGATCTCTTTACGAACTTCCTCAATCGATCGCAATTTCTCCGCTTCCATACTCGCGCGCATCTCACGTTGAGTACGATCTGGAATTTATAATGTTTCCTGAAGTATTCTTATGTTATGATAATACTATTAAATCATTTTTTTTACAATAAAGAAAAAATAGGTATATACCGGCGTTGTGTTTCAATTCGGTTAGCTGCTGCTGATGTTGCCACTTCATATGTTCGATCTGCTTTCGCAGGAAAAGTATGGTCGCCTGATAATTATCGTTGGTACCGTTCTCGCCATTAATACTGTTCTGGGCTGCCTCCTTGTACGCCTCTTCCATTAAATAGCTCATTTTTCTCGCAAGTTCATGCGCATCATGATGCAAACGTGCGCTGATCGGTCCGGCCTCCGGAGGTGTCACTTGATATGTGGATGGAGTTTCTTGGCCAATCGGAGAAATCTCCATAATTCCATCTGCATTTGACGAATGTTGAATATTTTTTGAATTAGACTTAGGGAAACTCTTCTTAGCCTTTTGAGATGAATTAAGGTGTCCCTCATTGTTGCCTTGATTAAGATCGATCGTCGACGTGACCTGTTTTGCGGGCTCAGTAGGTTTTCCATTGGGAACCACGAGGAGCAACACAGATTTATCCGTTATAGGAACGACTGGATTCGTCGATGTAATAGTATGAGTAACACTCGCATTCGATGCAGACGATAAAGTTATATCGATTTCAGGCATGTTTTTAACATTCAATGGATCATTTAACAGTGATATTCTAGGAACGCCTTTATTTGAATTCGATAATTTCTCATCTTCTTTGCTCGCGGATAGAGACATCAATTCTTTCTCTGCATTTAGTTTATCAACAATACTTGTTTTCAGCTTGAATGCTTTGTTGTTTCTTGTATACTTTGTTATTACCTTCGGATTGTCCATTTGTGAGAATGTCACTTTAGGATTAATAATATTTTTCAAAAGGGATTTCTTCTGCACTACCGTATCAGTAACTGGATAAATTGCAGGTTTAGGCAAAATTTTTATAAACGATTTCATTTCATTTTTCGGTTTCTGTGAATTATTCTCATTTGAGATACTAGCATTAGAATTTATGCTATTACTTAAGGTACTAACATTAGGACTTGTGCTACTATTTGAAATACTAACATTAAAACTTATGTTATTGTTTGAGATATTAGTATTAGGACTTAGGCTATTATTTGAGATACTAGCATTAGGATTTATGCTATTATTTTCAGCATCTGTTTCTGTATGCACAACGTTTAATCGAGAAGTTGATGTCTTCGCATTACTTGATTTTCCATTTTTTATCGTTTTGTTTTGAGCAACTTCTTGAGAGTTTGACTTTACAGTTTCTTGATTTGCTTTTTTATTCAACTTATTACTATCATCAGTTTGCGAGCTTGAAGTATCTTTAACATCAGTATTTAATTTTTGTACTTTTGGCGATGTTGCTTCGTTCTCCTTTTCACAAGCATCACTTGTCGGATCAATATCTATTTCACTAATGTTAGTCAATTCGTCACTCTGTGATTTACCTTTAAAAGAACTTTGTCTTTTTTGTGGCGATTTCTTCTTTTGAGATGTGGGAACTTTGGGATTGGGAAGATGGTTCTTAGGTTCGAGGGGATTGTAATTCGGTAGCATCAGTCGTATCTGCAACGGATTGTTCGGGTCGTACTGAATTTTGGGTGGAGCAAATTTGAACTGGCCAAACATAAGCGCGAGTTTTCTACAATGTCGAGTAATTTCTTTTACGCACTCATCCATGTCGGATTTTCGTTTACGAGGAGATGGTGATGGTGGCTCTTCAGAATACAAGAAAAGGTCCTTCGGCGACACCCAGGCGCGGTCGTGTTCACCAAAGAAACGCACATCTACGTATCCTTGAGAATTCGTACGAGGCATTGCTTTTGCCGGCCAAAACGGAAAACCCTTTAATTTGGCCCACACAAGTGGATGAGGTCGACGGCAGGGCTCAATGAACCACGAAGGTTGATGCCTTGGCAAATTTCGACTATGTGCATAGCAATCGGGACATGCATCAATTTCTGAGATTTCTTGACGTGCTACTTTGATGATCTGCTTCGCTGCGTTTGTCAGTTTCGATGTATCTGCGTAAACCCCACCGCCTATAAATATAAACAAAAGATAAGCTTATTTATCAATTCACCTTTAATATTCATGATTTAGAAACCATGAATAAAGCACAGCAAATTCACGTACACGTATTGAACACAATACAGTTATGTTGAATCCATTTTGCATCGGCCATAAACGCATCGGTACTGCCGTAAAGCTTAGCTCGCACATTCGATTCCAAAAGGCTCAAGTCCATAGGCTTGATAACATATTCTAGGTAGTTCGGTACTTCTACGAGATCCACCGGTTTGCAAAATGGCTCAGACTATATCAAGAATAAAAATTAATCAAGAATACATTAAATAAATAAATTATAAGGAAATAAACACTTAATAAAAAATAGCACTTAATAAAAAATATACATACGCCGGGATAGTCGCGTAACTTTTCAACCACATGCTTGAGCAACATGCACAATTGATCGATTGATAATTGTGCCATGGCTACGGAACGCGTCTCGGCGTTTTCTGCTTTCAAAATGGTCGCACATTCCCCACATATCCACTTGTCCAAAGATGATGGCATACCTCCTATACATTTACGATGATACGAGCGAGGACAGGCGGTACAGTAGGCATCAATATTCTCCTTGTGACATCGCCAACAAAATCGATCGTAACCAGTCTTCATAAATTTCTTTCTCTTACCTCTCGTGCCACTTTCCTCCGTCGAAGAATTAGAAGATTCCACCATCGTCGATTTGCTGAAAATATCAATATCCTTCTTTTTATATCTATATATACGCAACGTATTTGTAAATTTTCTATAAAGATATAATACACAATGCTAACTTTAAAGTTCTTCGTTTTCGTTTTAAAGTTTCTCCTTTTTTTACAGAATTTTTGCTATCTACGCTCTTAACTTCCTTTTCTTTATCTGTAGTTTGAGGTTCTACAAGGGAATCTACATTTTGTGTCTCTTGCTTCTTGTCCATCTTAGTATCATCCTGCTTATCAATTACCAATGATTTTAAATCCTTGGTAGTTTCACTTTTTATATCATCAGAATCATTTTTCTCCACGCTTGTACAATCAGCAGTTGTATCTAATGTTAAACTCTTTTCTTTTGTATCAGCAGTTTCATTCAGCTCATCATGCGAATCAACTGGCGGTGAAGCAGTTGATTTTATCTCGTTCGTTGTTATCGTCTCTATTGTCGTATTTACTTTGTCTGCAATGGGCGATTTTCTCGAATCTTCGCTGCTCTCATGGGACGCCATTTTGGTCATCACCTTCGACAAAAAACATCTAATTGATTTACTGAAAAACGTATCCCTTAAGGCTGCAGCACACATTTTTACATAACGCAAAATAAAAAAATCAACCAATCAAAGTTCCTCTTTTCCGAAAAATGCAAGGAAAGGAATGATTCTGATTGGTTGATTCTCTTATACACTGCGTGTTATGCAAGTCTGTGCTGTGGCCTTTAACATAGATATGCCATCTTGTATAGATCCATATGTATGTATATACTGCTTTTCTTTTAGGAGATTAGTATTCAGTCTTCTCCTTCTTTTTCCTCTTACATTAGACCTTTGGCCTTATTACTTTTCTTTCATATGCTTGTGATGTACACATTGATTATTCAATTGCTACAAGCATATGGGACCAATAGTTTTAATACCGGTTCCAAACAGCGGATTTTTCGAGAGATGTGTTTATAGATAAGAATACTTGGGAGATTGCCGACCTTTCTAAGAGAGCGTAAATATTTTGGTTCCTAGGATCACAGATCCTTAGAACCTGACATGATAAACCAGTGTCCATCATGCTTGTACTGGGATATTCATAGTCAGTTCTTATAGAGATTCTTTAAGATCATTTTAAATACAACACTTAAGCACTAATAACAAAGCTGTATTAGCATTTTAAGACATTATTTATAGTTCTTATAATAAGAACAGAATATGAATACTGGCTACAGTTGACACAAATGTTCTATTTTTTTTGGCATTCAATGAATAAAAATAAACTGATTCAGTTCGTTCTTATTTTAAAATCTTGAGATGACGACTCTGTGATATTTATAATATGGCTCACGATGTCTGTTGAGACTGTACTTAAGCCAATGGCACACCTGGTTTTTTTCTGTTGGATTGCTAGTTGGATTAGAGCACTGACAGTGCCAACGTCGCAATCAATACAATGGCAAGAATCTAATTCAACTAGTAATTTTGAAAGAAAATTAACATCATAGCATAGCTATTAGTTTTAAATATAAGAACTTTAAATATAAGACTATGTATACTGATTTGTTCGGTATTCAGTCGATTTTTATTTTAAAATCATTTTAATATTTTAAAATACTAATACACAGCCTTCTAATTGGCTTATGACATTTTAAGATTGGACTTAAGACAATCTTAAATATAAGGATTATAAATACTGGATGTAGAATAATACTTGCATTAATTGTCTCCTAAAAGGAAAGCAGCCATAATCTATTTACATAATTATTACATTATTTAGTATAAAATTTATATGGAGAATACTTTATATTCAATAAAAAATGAAACTTTTCTTTTAAAACAATAAGGAAAAGAACCAAAATCAATGGTATTTACTTAATTTATGGCTTATGAAGATTTAAAATTAATTTTAAAATTTTTACAAATTTTCTGAAAAATAATGATTCGTCACTTTGAATAATTTATTAAAGTCAAATTGTAGGCCAATGAAAAGTATTAATAATGAGATAAATTCATTTAAAGAATATGTATCACACATATTCTACAATAAGTCATTAGTAATAAATCAGAAGGTAGAAATTGACCAATCATAATCAATTATTCTTCTTACATTTGACTGTAATTGGTCAATTTTTATCTTCTGCCTTCTGATTTATTATTAATGACTTATTGTAGAATAGGCATTAATTTAACATCTAACTTTGATCATGGCACTTCTCATATTCAGATAATATTATTTTCATGTCTGCGAGATTACCTATAATGATAAAAACTGCTGCATACTAGTAATAATTCAAGGTATCCAATAATCCAAGTAGCTGCTTCTAGTATCTGGATAGATTCTCCCAGTAATTTGCTATAAGACATTAGCATTCTCGATGTGATTATTATTGTAGAAAGTACTGCTAAAGTGTACGCGAGTGTATTCAAGATGTTGAACTTAAACAGGTCCTTTACCTTGTAATGAGATTCCAGGATATGATGCTTTTGTATTCCTAATTACACTTAATCACCCTCGAAAAACGGACCGCGAGCCACCAATGCGGCCTAGCAGATCGCTAACGTTAGTAAATGCAGCGTCACAGTGTCAATCAAATTATTTACTGACTCAACTTTATTCGATTCAGCTCGATTCCACACCAGAAAGCTTGCTTTCCTCTTCGTGGAATGCCAACCTTGCTTGCTATCGGTGGCGCCACCAATCGACGGTGTCCCTCACGGAGCCCCACGGATACCATCTCGGTCAATCGTGGTCACGTGACACTCGATACCATCTCGAATAATTATGGTCACGTGACACTCCGTCGCGCCGCTATCTTCCATCCTGTTTCTATTTTCGCCGATTGTCCTTGTTAATAGAGAAAACAGTTGTCAATCGTTCTCCACAGCGATCCACGACAATTTTACTGTGGCAACTCGCGATTCCTTCGCGGCAATGGAGCTATGAGCACAAGAAATGAATATTTCAATTAGATTTATTCTGATCACAAAGATCACGTGTAAAAATAAAATAACAGATAAAAAGAAGTCACAGATATAATATTATATCAAACACACAAGATCTATTTGTGATGTTTTACACTCAGCATCTTCGCTTTCTGTTCTCAATGCCCGAATACATTTTTATTTTATTTTAAGTAAAATGTTATTGAGGATTTCAAGCAACAGACCTACCTTCTACAATAAGCCGTTACTCAAGCTTTAAGTTTTAAGCAGTAAGAAATTGACCAGTCACAGTTGAATGTGAGAAGAATAATCGACTAAGATTGATCAAATTTTTTTATAGGCTTACTTAAAGCTTAGTTAATTATAGTTGCTTTCCATTTGTACTGATTCTTAGATAATTTTCACTTGTGATGTCATAAGTCAGTTGAATGAATGTTCCTTTTGCATTCTGACAAGTGAGACTCAACTGACTTTTTATTTATAATCTGTACAAAATTGAGATCATGTGCTTTAGTGAATCTTAAAAATTCACTTTAAAAATAAGATTATGAATCCTGATAGCAAAGCCTATGATAAAACAGATTTTGAGTAGAGCCTGCTATCAATTTTTGATTGCAGAAAGATAATTGTACATAAAGCTATGAGACAATGTCAGTAAACTCAAAAATATGACAAAGCTTGCTAATATGCTATACCAGTAAATTAATGACAGAAACTGAACAGTCTGCTGCATAACCTGATAGCAGATTGCAAGCAAAAATTTAACGGAGCCTGTTGACACAATCTGACAGCAGAAGAACTGAGCAAGATTTATCATTTTCATATATGGCTCTACTATGAGACTTGCTTCTCGTAAGAAGAAAATACCAGGAGATTTATAAGAAAGAATTATAAGAATTGGTATAAATCAAATAGACAAGTCTCCTAGAGATTCCCAAACTCTTTCAAAGTGTGCTTTTTGAATCTTCGAATATTTTTTATAATTTTCTCATGTATATTGAAATGTGAAGCTAATCAATAATATTTTAGCAATAAAACTGTGATTGATTGTTTTCAGTTTTCACACTAGTATACATAAATATATACTTATATATAATTATATATAACTGTTTATATATATATATGAACATAAAATTTCTTATAAGAAACCAGGTAAATTTAAATGAAAATGACAAATCTTGCTTGGTTTTTGCTGTCAGGTTATGTTAGCAGACTCTGTTCTTTTTGTCAGCAATCTGCTGTCAAAACATCAGCAGACTTTGTCGATAAATCCATAGCTAAATGTGGACACAGATGGCTATGGTTTTGTAGTAAAAATCTGATCGAGTTTTGCTGTCAATTTGCGCGAAAATTGCTAATATTTTGCTATCAAGGAATATGTATTGTCATGTGATAACTTTTTACCAAGTTAAACAAATTATGTCATTAATCAGAGTATGAAATACTCGGCTCACTTCAGACTCAGTCTCACTTGTGTGTAAATGGAAAGTAGCTCATGATTTAAGAAACTGTAGAAAGCCTAGAACAAAACGTCTTTAATAGCAGTGAAGAGTGAGGCTAAACAGTGTTGGAAAGGGCACAATGTAGAATAAATTAGAAGTACGTACCACTCGCCTTCTTCTTTCAGGAAGCAACAATAATCCAAATGTGACGCTGTCATCCCGTGATACAGCTTCCTGGGAGATGCCCTAGATTTCCTCTGATTTCGTAGCAATTTTCTCGTCGTTTGATCAATCGGTTTGCCGCGCATAAATCAAAGAATTGATCATGGAATCAAGTTGCCTCGATATCGTAATTGCAAGGCATTTCTCTCATTTCATCAGTTAGATATGGATATGACAAATACTGTCAGATATCAAAATCTCATCGCCGAACCATCACTATATTTTTTTCATCTCGTCACCCATTATTTTAATCATCTGTGTCATTCAATAGGTTATGTGATCATATGGTCACGTGGTTCTCGATATAACCTCTTCTCTCTCTCTCTTTCTCTCATTCTCTCTTTTTCCGTTTGTGATATCGAGTAATCGCGAGCAAAGCGATATACCACGATGCACGTCAGATGGATGGTGCGCCGGATTATATATATGGGTCGCGTAGATAGTAAACAAGTCGCAACAGCTGTGACTTTACTTATCTAGTCATTATCGAGATAAATGGGGAACGTCGTCGATGAATCCGTCGCTAAAGTGTGAATCTTTAAAGGAAAAGTTGAAATTGGCTAAGCAAATTATGCCTGGAGAATCTTGTGACAGTCCGACGAATCAACGGAGTGTTTAGGTTATGTTATTCTGTCAAAGTATTCGTATTTTATTGAGAACTTCATCGGTCGCCACATAGAGAGGAATCAAGGCTATAATGGGCGATCACATCGGCGATAATATATTAATTCCGCAAGTTGATAATGTTGTATTGATCGATAAAAGCGATGGCAATAACAAGAGCATAGATGGGACGCTGTGCATTAGCGGTCACCACCTCATCTTATCCTCCAGGCAGGATGACGGACAGGAGCTTTGGGTAATTAATAAATTATAAATTTCTCAATACATACAGATTAAAATTGTAAGGAAAATGCAGTTGTAAATATCTTTTTCTCATCACTACTCCAAGGAATGTCATAAAGATATCTAAAGGACATTGTATGTTCTAAAAATGTTTTCATCGTCTTTAAATAAAATTGTTAGATAGATTTTAGCATATTTGAATAATCT